AATAAGGTAATTTAGGATTAAATTTGAGGCTAATTGTCAGGGTATGGGCATGGTCGCACACGCGGCTGGGAGGTTCAACCACTCTTTGAGTTATTCAACAGGACAGATCATTCTGCCTAACGTCCAAGGGGCTCTACTTATTATTACAGCCAATCCATGTTATAGATGTTGAAATCACCCAAATAATGAACTTGGAACTTTTGGGATCAGTTCTAATCATCTTAATACTTGTCAGTAGTATATCAAAAAAGAGAAAGATAATATGCCCAGGGAAAAGAAAAATTCGTAAATCGAGCATTTTAGAAGTCGGTGTTGGGTATAGTGGTAGAAATTCAGGTTTGCGATAAAATAGAATGAGATGAGGAGTAGACTAAATAAACTAATGTATAGAGTCAAAGTTGCATTTCAGGCCATGGATGTTAGTTTGATTTTTTAACGAGTACGCTGCAGGATTTGTTTTCCAAGCAAGCTGACCCTGGAACCGGAGGTGGCGAACTGGGTAAGTTTATGACGTCAGGTCGATAGTATTATTCCGGGTGGTAGCAGAACCGTTTACCACCTGCTGTCTAAATCTTTATGAAAGCTATTCCTAATAGCATAACATTTGATGTTTTTGCTGTGTGAAATTCATTGAATGTCCCTACAATTTTCATACGAATATTACACTTTAAAGATGGCGCAACAAGATGAAATCGGAACGGAACAGTCAAGGACGGCTCATTTTGTCGGCAGTTTAGTCAAAGGTTAAAATATAATTGTCTCACATCGCAAGGCTCAACCTTGGAGAAATGAGGAGTATATGAGATGCTAAGTTTTACTTTCATAAAAACCGTAATCCGTTACAGATGAAGTATCAGGCAGAAAAGTGTAAGTCCATGTGAGCCTTTTCAACCCTGAAAAGCAGGCAACTAGTGGGAACAAGCGTTCATTGGTGCAGTTTAAAGCAGTTCCGAATGAAAACTTGAGGTTTCGGTAAAATGCTTCAAAGAGATACCTCGTGGCGTTTTGATAAAATTTACTAGATGTCGCAGTTTGGAATAAACAGATATGATCCGAATAAGCTTTCGGTGCACGGAGTTTTCCTGCCCATTACGGATAAACTATTCTCCGACCGAAGCCCAAATGTTGATCATCCTTTTACTTGTTTTGCGATTACATGTTCGTCAAAGGAAGAATGCATAAAACAAAAGTATGCACAAGCAAATCGGCCGCCATTAGATGTTATTGCGAGGAGTATTTTGGCGGTCCTTGTGAGTGCCGTCCTAACTTGGGGATCAGCGCACTGAAAGATTTTCCAT